GGGGGACGCGTACCAGTCTGGGGACACCGTCCACGGCAAGGTTGATGCGCACAAGTCCCAGCAGCAGGAAGAGCTTAACGAGGTTCTCCGCAAGGCAAGGACCAACCCATGGCAAGTTGCACCTGGTGGATTCTTCTGGCCAGCCGATGCTTAGCACCTATGGAGATGCCCTTGTTCAGGTCACCCCCTGGCATACTTTGACTACTTCGATGAGGGAGTCTTTGGGTGGTGAATATGACTGGGCATCCTGGTTGCAGCATCCTCTGTCGGGGTATTCCCTGCACTTCTTCTTGAAGGCATTCGAGACGGGCAAGTTGCAGGGGAACTACCTCGTAGAGCTGGACAAGAAGCCGAAGGTTTATTCCAACGGCTATTCGTCACCATGGATGAATATGAAGCGTCATCCTGGAGGCCTTGCCACGATGCTGGAGGACGTCACCCTCGCCGCACAGAATGAGTTCCGACCCACCGTCGGCCACATTGGTTTCGATCGCCCTCGTGACTCTGATCCTCGTGCAAAGATGCCAAAGACGGAGGATCCTGATTACTCTCGCAAGCTCGAGGCACACAAGGCTTTCCTCAGGGAAAGGTATGTGTACGACGAGGTCTTCAATGTGAGAGATGATTTTCAGATGCTCGTCCGCGTCATCAATGAGGCATATGGAGTGGACTTCTTCTCCTACATCCAGCGCCACGCCAGTGATTTGGAGGTTCGCCGGAAATACACGGTGCGAACCCCTGAGGGCTATTGTCTCTACGACAGTACCCTCAAGCAGCCGTTCAGCGGCAGCTACCTTCTGGCGGTTCTGGAGAAAGTCTTCGCAGAATCTGAGCACCGAGATTTCAAATCTGCTTTCGCACGCAAAGCCAAAGCGGACTTGGTGGCTTACGAGGACTTGAAGGCGAAGAAGGAGTCCGAGCTGAATGAGCTCCTCACCCGACCATATGAAGACATTATGATCGAGGAGTTCATCGAGCGACTCCCATGTCCACGGATCGAGGAGATCGAGGAGCCTCCCGCGGCTACTCAGATGGACACCTCCGAGCCGTCGGCTGGATCCACGGACTTGCCACAGGGCAAGAAGGTTGATCCGGTTAAGACCGAGCCGACCGATGTGCCAATGGAGACTGAAGCTCCAGAAAGCTCTCCACAGGGAGAGGCATCTGGGGCTACTGTCGAGCCAATGGAGACGGACGCTCCGGAAAGCTCTCCACAGGGAGAGGCATCTGGGGTGGATGTCCCACAGCAGAAGGATGATGAAAGTGAACTTCACGATCAAGGCATCTGGGGGAAATGCAAGACTGCTCCGGATCCTGAGTACTACAAGGCCGCGAAGGATGCAGAGGACCAGAACGAGAACGCGTTCGAAGAGATGGGCAAAGCCAAGGAAAAGATTGAGCTCAAGGACACCGAAGAGTTCAAACGTTTCCTCTCGGAGCTCACCGAGATCGAACGACAAAGCCCTATGCGGCTGCTCACCAAGCAGTTGAATGGATATGGCTATTCAGGCTTGTATCATACAGGACTGCGTGATCCTGATTACGAGCCCGTTCTCGCTTTCAAGGTGCAGCATATGAGTTGGAGGGTAAATGTTCCGCCTCACAAGGGACAGAAATACACCCTCTCCATGGGGGACCTCTTCGATCAACTCAACAAGATGTCTCCCATCTATGAGCGTCGTCCCGACAAGAAGAACGTGGTCTTTCGTTCTGGGGACGTCCGCAGCACCTTGGATGACAAGCTCATGGGTAAGGCCTCTGACATCCGAGAAACAGCTCTGGATGTTATGGAAGCACTTCTGGAAAAGCTGAAGTCCCTCGACGCAAGCGGCAATCCGGCAACTCGAGAAGAGCTCTTGAATGCTATGCTTCATTACTTCTTGAACACCGGAGTTGATGAAGAGGAGATCGGGGACCTCTCTCTTGAGAAGATGCCGAATCCTTATATTCATCGTTTTGGTCTGGCAGAGGACTCTAAGATTCCCATCTTCACCAGCAAGACCAAGTACGCCGCGCTCATCGTCAATCTCGGCAACATGAGCAGGGGAAGGAAGCGTTCTGCTCCTACCTCCGTCGCTGATCACATTGACTGGGACGATGCTACACCATCTCGTGGAGCCCTGATAAAATCGATTGCACAGTCGAAGACGCATTTGTTCATGCTATGCGAAGCGGCTAAGATCGATGACTCCGAGGAAGCGTTCCTCACGTCGCGCGGTTGGCAATTCCTGCGCAACGAGTCCAAGGATCTGATGGTGGGGAGTCGTACCAATGGTGTTGGATCTTCGATCACCCGGTTGGCCGGCTCCACTCTCAGTGGATTCGCACACGAATCTCTTCCCTTGACCTATATGGTCGTCGAGATCGTGTATGGAATGACAGTTCCAACTGGCATTCAGGGCAACCGAGGTGACTTTCCAGATGAGGCATTGACCAAGGTTCTGGAGCGTGCCGGCTCCGACCGTATAAGGGTCTGTTGCTTCCACCTCCGAAACGACGCGGCGGCAGACAAGGTGGCGTTGGCTCACGAAGTGGTGGGCAACATGTTCATTGACTGCCTGCACTACCAGGTCGACCTCATCGGTGGCGACGCCAACATGGCCCTCTACCGGGCCACGGGCAGAAAGCAGGAGTCAATAGACATTCGTGGCGGGATGTACCAGAGCCTTCTCGACTACTTCCTGGAGGCCTGGTCAGAAAGCCCGAGATGTCCACACCTCTGCTCGCCTCGTGCGAGACTCGTGTCAGCAAACGCCATGTGGCTTCTGAAGCAGTATGAGGACACGCTGGGGATGCCGTACAAGGACATCAAGCAGCCGGACTGGAATACTTTTCCTGGTCTGGACCCTGTTATGGCGACAGTCATGGAATGGGGACACAGCATGTCGGACAACCAATGGGCTGAATTTCCAGCTTCAAAGACCGAGTTCGACATCCATGTCTCCGAGTGGCTGCTGAATTCCACCAGCGCCGCGTACCTTCTCAACGATCGGGACTATGACGCTCACACCCCGCTCCTCATCGAGGTTCACGCGAACCAGTACTCTGGAGGCAGGATGAGGGCGCTCAACCGCAATCCCGACACCGTGAAGGAAGCCGCGGACAGGAGAAAAGAGAGACAGAAGCTAAACAAGGCGCGTGGTTCTGGTTCTACTGGTCCTGAAGCCGCACCACAGGGAGCAAGCTCTTCTCAGGAAGAGGCAGCTTCTGGTGCTCAAGCTTCTGGTTCTCAACGTCCTCAAGAAACCCGCACAATCTCCTGGCGGCAAAGAAGGCGGCAAAGGAGGCAAGTCCTCCAAAGGAAAGGACAAGGACGCCGACAAGGGCAAGTCCAAAGGCAAATCCAAGGACAAGTCCAAGGGCAAGAACAAGGGGAAAAACTGACTAGGTTCCGATTCTTCGGACGTGGATATGGACAATGGTTCTGATGAAGTTCCTTTGGAACAAGATGAAGACGTTGCTCCAGATCCACAGATATCGCTACCTAGGTCCCCTGCTGATCCCCGTGGTTACGACCCTGTTCGTCACCAGCCGGTGATGCCGATCCATACCGTCGACATCTACCGTTGGCATGGTGCTGATCATTGGCGTGATAGAACCTGGGATCGAGACCTAGAGTTCGTCGACTGAACTGGCTGAGTGTTAAGCTCTAAGGCGTTCACATGAGATGTGCTTGGAATCGAAATCGTACACTCAGCTAGCTAGACAGATGACAGTCTCACGGCCCGTGTTTCACGGAAGGCTTCTTTCAGAAGAAGGTATCCACTCTGAACATTCGTCATTTCATAGGGAGATGCTTTTCTCAGGAAAAGGGACTTCCTAAAGAACTCTTTCTCAAGGGAAGATACTTATCTCAGGATAAGATACTTCTAATGCCCTTATACATTTGCCGTGTCGCACGATGTCATGCTGGCATCAAGTGGAGCTAAGCTCTACAAACTTTTATGTTACAGTATGCTTTCCACCTGGAGAGGGAACTGAAACACAAGTAGGCAACTTTCAAGCAAAAGTTTCCAGTTGAAGATCCGCTTGCGTTTCGTGCGTGTTCTGCTCTTTTCAGTGAAGCTGTCTTCAGGTGAGAGAATGTATAGTTTCTCTTCAAGTCGCAGATGTAGCTCAATACTCCGCTAATTCGACCGAGAGCAATAACAGGCTAGTTGAATGCCGACTCCACGGCCATGCAGCTCTACGTGTTTTAAATTTGTGCCTGGTTGAATGTTACACATCCAGGTGCCTGTGTGTTTCACGTATCACTTGCATGTATCCATGCCTGTTGCTCAAGGTTCTAGTGCAGTGGACTACAGCTGTGCGCCTGTAGCAAAAGAGACACCTGAGTGCCTGTGTTCCTGTACGCCTAGCGAGGGGATACACGTCCAGGTTACATCTCAGGGGTGGGGTGGGGGGGGGTGGGGTGGGGTGGGGGGGGTGGGTGGGTGGGGGTGGGTGGGGGGGGGGGGTGGGTGGGTGTGGGGGGGTGTGTGTGTGTGGGCGACACTTTCGTTAAAAAAAGTAAAATAAAAAAACAACAACCAAACATTCAAAAAACAAGGGCCAAAACATCCTGTTACTCACGAAAACCACACTGAACTCTAGGTTTCAGGCTCTTGACCAAAAAGACCTCAAACAAAAACGACACACCCTCCGCGGCGGCAGATGCAGGGCTGTTGTTGTTGCTGTTGCCGGAGGGTCGCCTTGGTGTTGCCTTGGTGTTTGAAGAGTGTTTGCTTTTTTTGTTTGGTTTCCCCCTTTTTGTCTCCGGCTAGGACCACGACAGCCGGGAAGGCTTGTATGGCTTGCTTTTGCCTTGTTCTTGTGTCTTGTTGCTTTGCGATTGCCTTTTTGCCGGGAGGGTCGCCGTGCATTTGCTTGGTTTTACTTTGCTTTGCTTTTGTCTTAAGTTCAACGGAAACAGGAAGCGACCATTGTTCAAGCTTTATTCGGCTTGAGTTGAGGCTTTCGTTCAATCTGACATGCTGTCTTTAGGAGCGCCCCTTCCCAGCCTTGACGGCAGAGACTTGGCAATTCGCCAAAGCCGCCACAGCCTGTCGCCATACGAAGCGAAGCAGAGATCGCGGAGTGAATCGAGAGGCGCAGAGAAGACGGAAGTGGAGATAAGAGAAGTCTGGAAGGGCAATGAAGACGTTGATCCACGTTCTATCGTGACATGGCGGTGCCCAAGTGCCGAAGTGCAAAGGCGATGAAGCCTTCATCATGGCGACCTTTACGACAGGGCTGGAAACGAACTGGTCGGCTTCCTGGACGTCCAAGGCCAGATCACCTGCTTTGTGAGCCAGCGGAGATCATCTGCAGTGCGCCGCGAGGTCAAGGGCGGCACCGCCAACTTCCGCGAGAATATGCTTTCCGTCCTCTGGCCCAAGCTGCCTTTTTGAGAACACTCTTTCAGAACCGCGGACGTCTGCGGAGCTCCTTGCCAGCGAAGAACGGCACCTCGCAATGCTGCTGAAGCATCATGCATGCCGCAAGTTCACAAAATATACTGGCGGGTACAAACTGAGCTTAGTGAGGTTCACACTGTGAAGTTTTTCGAAGCCTCCTGGGCGAGATGAGAAGAGCGTGAAGGCACGGCACTGACCAGTTTGAGGGTTCCCTGGCCGTCATCGGTGCGGCCGCCGCGGCAGCGGAGAGGTTCCTCTGGAGAGACTCGGTTTGACTCGGCGTTGAGCACGCCGCACACTGCGACTGCAAGGAAGGAGAGCTCCTGATTGCTTCCAGCTCGCCACCGGTCCGATCCTTCGAGGCCTCAGAAAGCTCATGCACAGGCACGACCGCTTTCGCTGCCTGCGCCCAGGCTGCGAAGCTCCGGCCTTCATGAAGTCGTCGATGAGCTGCCGTGCCCGTTCAACCAGGTAGGTGTCCAAGGTCTGTGGTGAGGCCTGCAAAGCCTGCTCGGCCTCGGCAAGCAAACAGTCTTAGCCCCTCAACCCTCCGGTGAGCTCGTTGCCTTGCACGTTCTTGCACCGTTCCAGCCCAGCGGCGGTCATGTTCATGTTGGCCAGCTGTGCCGTGAGGTTTGCCACCAGCATGTCGATAGCAGGACTCCTTGGCATCGCCTCGAAGGGATGCAATCCGACGCAACAGGAAAGTCGAACGGCGACACATCAAGGCACTTCCGGTGCCTTCAGGACGTCCATAAGCTCGGAAAGAGTTGTCAGGCCGGGCGACAGGGAGGCATTCACGACGGCCTGACAAGATTTCTAAGGCGAAGCAAGGAGCCCCTAAAACCCTTCCTCTCCGAGCGCCTGAACGGCTTCGGCTTTTTCCGGGTTCTTGGCGATGGCACGGATGGCCTCCTTGGCCACCGCCGAGGCCTTCGGATCTGCCTCCGAGACGTTCGAAACCAAGCGCTTCTCCTCGGGAGCCTCCACGCCGCCATGTGCATGGAAAAAGCGCAGCTTGACAGAAGGCCGCTGGACTCCGCTGGACCGGGCCTCCGTGGGTTTGTGGCCCGTGAGGTCTTCGATCACCTGAATCACACTCCAGTGCGGTCAAGTGATGGCCCACCCAACGGCCCCACTCGCCGATCCTCGTCGAGCGTCTTGGTATCCGAGTCTGGCAAAGAGCAGAAGCAGGCTCGTGGCGGCTCGTGCAGGCGCGGCTCGTCGCTGTTTGCATCTGGGAAGTCTGGGCCCCTTGCCATCGTACTTTTTCAATGCTGCCTCGATTTGGTCTTTCGTGCAAGGCACCGGTGGGCCTCAAAGGGAGGCTTCGATGCTCTCCTTCGTGGACCGATAGGCCTGTTGGCGTCCGGGCTTGTGGTCGTCTCTGTTGTCGTGGTGCTTGGAATTCCACGTGGATCCTCGCTGGAAGACCGTAAGAACATCGCAAGCGGACTGGGACCGGTTACAGCCTTCACGATGCTGAAGTTCTTCAGCAAGTCGTCAGCATGAGGGATCTCCTAAAGCACCAGCTGTAGATGGAGCAGACGTCTGCACAGAGGCCTTCGGGGTGTGATTAATTTACAGCCCTGGCAGCCCGTCATGCTGCTGCCCGTGAGCATTCGGGTTGTAGGCACCGCCACTGCCTCGGCACTCACTGCAATCACTGCACTGTTGCGTTTGGACGTCAGACTGGTAAGCCGAGGCTGCGGCTCGATCCCCACTCGCCCTGCGCAACCGCCTGCCGATTCCAGTTGAGCCCCCCCCAACGAAACACACAGCCACAGTGGTCCTAGCCTTCGCAGTCCCGTCGGTGGTCGTCGGTGCTGTGAGTAAGGGGCCTCGTAAGAGAGGAAGAGGGAGAAACGAAGCCGACAGCGAACAGGCCCTGGCCCTGAACCCAAAAACCGAAGACTGCTCAGCAAAGGTGGGAAACTCTGTGGCTCGCGGCAGCCAGGTGTCTCGTTGGCAGTGCCGCAGCCACCGGTCTGCATCATGGCCTCCTCGCAGGGCCTGGCAGGAGGGCACAGCGCGCCGCCGCTGCGCCGCTGCACCGCTGCACCGCTGCGCCTGCCCCCGTACAGCTCCGCAGATTTCACCTCAAAGGAAGCGGGCAAAACGGAGATAGCGGGCCGCAGGCACTCTGCTGTGGGTCCGGGGCTCGTGTGCGGAAGCGCTGGCCCAAGCCGCAGCTCGTGGAGCAGTCGCTCCACTCCTCCCACCTCAGTGCACGCTGCGAGCTCTTTGTGCTCAGAAGAAGCCTCTTGGCCTGGGCCGAGGATGCTCAAGGCCTCTCGGGCCTCTCGGGCCTCTCAACTCGGAGGCGGACAGGCCGAAGCTGCAGTCCACCGGGCAGGGCTCGGAGTTGCAGAACTCCCGTGCCGTGTCGTTGCCCGCCTCAGAGCCGCGCAGGTCCAGGTCGCAGGTCGCTGCGGGGCAAAGGGCCGAGAAGCAGCTGAGGCCCCAGCACAGGGGAGGCCGCCGCTCTGCTCCTGCTGCCTTTCGACGACTCTCGACCCCTCTTTCTCTTGTCTTGAGAGTCGACCAAGATTCTCACTTCTTACTGCGCTGCTTCATCCGGGTGCCACCATCGCAGGTCACCGGACAGACACTCCAGTCCTTGGCAGCACAGGAAAGCTTGCCAATTGCACGAAGAAGAAGCGGCCCCACACTCGCAGAGCCACTCAGCACCCGGCAGACCAATCGTTCCACTCGCAGGCCACCGGACCTAAGGAGCGGAGGAGTCTACTTTTTATCACAGCATGGCTTCCGGGCCCCGCCGGGCCCCGGACAGTCCAGCACGTTGCAATCTGCTTCCTGCTCTGCCTGACCTTGACAGCTGGCGAAAACGGCGAGGGCAGATACGGCACTTTTCCGCTTTGGGCTCTTGGCCGACACAGGGCCTCAGAAAATCCAGGAAACTCTGCTGCAAAATGCAACTGCGCCAAACGAAAAACGTTGCCGAGGTGCTCCCCGCCGTTCTTCCTGCGCTGCCAGGACTCACAGGAGATTGTCTCACAAGGGACTCAATGGGACCAAGCCGTGCTTTTTGCAGTCCTGGGGATGGCAATGTCGCGAAAGCGCTTGATTTTGCCCCCACCACAAAGCTTTGAGCACGGAGTCCTCAACAAGACATCCTTTTTAGTTGCTTGATGTCTTTCGTACGACATCTTGAGCTTGGGATCTGAAGACTAATCCACTTATACTTATGCTCTCGTTCCGTGCTCGCAGCTTGCGGGCGAAGGCTTGCGGCTTGCTTTACACAGCTGCCACCTGTGGAAAAGAGAAGAAGTTCACTCTCTCCGAGGCGCAAGCCACTGGGTCCATTCGTTCCACTGGCAATCTCGCGGACCTCGCTTGCGCAAAACTCAATACACGCCAGGTGCGGCGGCGCGCCTGGCGACTGCTCATGGCGGCACCAACGTCCACACCAACTTTGGCGAGGCACAGAAACCGCGGGGGGGTTGCACATGATAACCTCATGATGCATGCTCACCTGTCCCGGTAGAAGGTGCTGCCATACTCGGCTTCGCGATACTGATGATTTGGATCTGTTGGGTACTTTGGCGGGTGAATGGAGGCCCGCTCGGGCTTGTGTCACGCTTCTCACCCAATCAATCCGGTCAGCGTCACTACCACGAAACAGCGTGAGTTCCCGCAGTGCAAAAACCACAAATAAAGACAAACAAAACACAAATAAAGACAACATAAACCAGCAAAGACAAATCAAGGCAAATTATGTAAATAAGTACAAATACAAACAACTAAAGACAAATAAAACAAAGACATTGTTTGTAACACGGTAGAAGTTTTCAAAGGGTTAAGAAAAGGCAGATACCAGGAAACTCGATGAAGAAGACCTGGCACAGGGTGTGGTTTGGGGGTTTAGGGATGCACAAATCAACACACACGAATTAAGCTGTCGAACGCCAGCCGAAACCAGGGGAGGCAAAGTGCAGCAAACCTTGCATATCAGGTCCGGTGCTGGGTGAAACGACACCTTCTGGCACTCTGCCTTCCCTCTGGCACTCTGCCTTCCGTGAACACACCTTTGAATTAAATGCAGCCGCCAGCCTGGCTCCCAGGTCAATCCACAACAACGATTTTCCTGAGGATTGTCAATTCTTGCACATAGCTGTCGTAGGAGAGGGGGGTTCTTTTTGTACTCGGCAAGACTCTCCTCAATCCAACAGAGCCGGAATTCCAAGTAGTCGGTGAGGTACTTTTCACGTATTAATTAGGTTATATACCGATATACCGTTACTGGGTTCTTGGACAACACCTACAATTAGTTTCTGAACGAAACCTAGGTGCACGTATTGATCTTCGAACGATCTCTGCCACATTATCAAGAGCTTCTCGGCCAATCGATGACCTATTCCCGGCGACAGTAGCTTTTCAAAGACCTGCGCAGCCCGCGCTTGCTCTGCTTCCATGGCTTTCTGTCGGACTGGACTCTTGCCAGGTGGGACCAAAATTGCTTCTGTTCAAGCTCGTTCTAGTTGTACTGCGTCTTTGCGGAGCTATGTGCCGAGAAATTGTAGCACTGCGGAAAATTAAGGCCCATACTTAATGATGTGCTTGGACCAGCATTATTGAGTTGCTGCGAAAGCTCACCTCTTTGTCTCTCACTCTTGGAATCAACCACACACACACAGAGATTTTTCATTCCAGCACTCGATGCATCATCTAGCGGTCGGGAGGCCTCCATGGTCGGGCCACAGCAGGGCCTGTGGTCAATGACGAACTGTTCGGCCTGCTCTGCTGACGTTTCCAGTGAAAGGGTACGAGGTGGGACAGACATTCATTCATTCATTCGTGCATGCATTCATTCATTCATTCATTCATTCATTCATTTCATTTCATTCATTCATTCTTTCTTTCTGTCTTTCTTTCATGTAGTGTAAGTAATGTAGCACAAGCACTGCAGATTGTCAAGTAATTGAACTACCCACGTCGAAGTTAAACCGAACAAGTTTCTGAATCTTTCCAAGAGACCGTAGTCGATCATACGAACTTGGAGAATCCAGTCTGGTCTGTCCTTGCCACCAGGATTCGGGTCGTACTTAATCTCACCTGCGACCTTGGGACATTCTGGGCATTCAACACCACTCGCCAGTAAGCACGGTTTGGCTGTCACTGACCTTGTCGGGGGCCATGGGGTAGAACAACCCGTTCTCCAATTGCTGGGACAGCCATTGCAGGCACCTCTAACACCTCAACAGGAGAGACTGACAATCTTGGCCTCTGCCGCTGTTCCCTCTTGACCATTTTCATCCGGCCTAGGCCGCTTCCTGAACAACATACGTGCCCGACACACCTGTCCTGCCCAGACGGCTCTTCTTGCTTTGGGAGAGTTCAGGCTTCTACTGGGTCTGCCGAGGCTTCCCAGTTGCCTCAAAAGGACTATGCGGGGTTTCGCCAGGCGTTGGAAGAGGTTCCTATCAGTGTCATGGGCCGCTTGAGAAGGTTTCGCTTGGAGCGCCCGGCCGACCACCGCCGGGAGCATGCCATCAAGCGTCTTCGGGCTTTTGTCATACACGATCCCGAGACCACGTCCCTGGGAAGCGCCGTGGCTAAAGAAGCCGCGAACCTTGCAGACGACGAGACCCTTTCACATTCCTTCACTTGCGCTGCATCGCACGCAACATGTTCGAGGGCGGCGTTGATGAGTATAAGTTCGGCGGCAGGTAAGACCACTGGACATCAGGGAGGTTGCTGCGGCCACTACGAACACGAGGTTGAGCATGGTGCGTTCATCACCAACGAGGACATTGAGCGCGGAGGCAAGGACGACTACATCAACTACAAGTGCGAGAGAGCTGGTGGTGTCGACGAGGATGTGTTCAGCAAGCTTATCGTGACAGCGACTACGACATCGCAACCCTCCGGCAGCTGTTGGACGGCCACAGCTGGAGCCCCGTGAAAGCAGGGCGTGATGGGGTGTTTAGTGGCAAAACCGGGGACTTCGTGCACTACTTCACCTACGGCCTCTTCCCTCACAGCAGAGTCGTTGGGTTGACAAAGAGGACTCGGGAGTACGACAATGTGACACGGTTCGTCAACGGCTTTGCGAGGCACCATCTTGGCTTAGGTGCTACCTGGTCCTCTGTCAGTGTGTCCCCGGACGTCGCCGCGGAGATACATCATGACTACCACAACCTCAAGGAGACCTCGAACTTCACTTCAGCCTCGGCCACGAGACCGGACGTGGCCTATGGATCGAGGACAAGAACATTACCGAGGAGACCATCAAAGGCAACATTAAATGGAGGAGGACCAACACTGGGCAGTCCGAGCCTTGGACCGGGACAAGGTGGTGCCTCACATTCCACACCACCCGCAACCTCCACAAGGCCGGGGATGGAATGAAGAAGTTCCTCAACGGGTGCGGCTTTCCCCTTCCGAGGAAACAGGATGTTCGCGCAGGGCACCATCGTCGAACGGAGAGTGTTAAGCCCCGCGCAAGCACGATGAGAATCTCTTCAACACTGCGGCGAAGATCAGCGTTATGATGGCCACGCTCATTGCCGCGGCCAGGAACTACGTGGCGGAGCACGTCTACCCCACGGTGGAGTCGGACCCCATCGTGATCTTCGAAATGGGTGGAGTTGACGCGAAACACGAAGCAGCCGGGATCGGGAAGAACGTCTTCGAGCCTATGACCTGGGAGGGATATCGCTCCCCCGAGGGAAAGGAGAGTGCCCTTCACATCGTCCAAGGAGGCGGACCACGCGAACTACCCGTCAACTTGGAAGGCAAGCCTGAGGAGTGTGACGAAGCTTTGATTGATCTGACGGAGGGTCAGTCATGATCTCTGGAAATTCTGAGACCACTTTAAACTGTTGTTTGTCCTCAGCAAGCAGGTCATCAAGAACCAGCTCATCAACGAAGTCACCCATGATAATGTCAATTTGGGTACACTTTGACGGCAGCTTGCTGACACATCCTCTGAAGCACAGTTTGTGCCGCTTCCTGTCCACATTCCAAAGCTCCATTTCAAAACATCTCCGTTTGACTTTTGCCGGATGCCGAACTGAGCGGCTTTCAAAGACGTTGGAAATTCTCAATCACAGTTTGAATCGTTGAGTACGTTGTCTTACGGGTTCTGTTCAACAAAGCATCATTGCAGATCTTGTTGCGCACATCTTCCACAATCTTGGAATCTGGCAGCGTCTGCACCAGAAAACTCAGCAGGCGGGTTGAAGGGCATGCTGGCACAGGAATTTCTGCAGTTCTGCCGTCATCTGCCTCTTCAGGCACAGAGTCCTCCATCTCAACGTCCTCAGTGTCAACACAGTCCTTGACAGTGACTTCTGACCCCGGAGGCGCCATTTCATTTCCAAGTGCCTCCAAGACTTCCTCCAGCAGAGCAGCAACAAATGCTTAGCGTGTGGCTCTGAGGCACATCATCAAAAGGACTGCCCGGTAGCTGGAGGTGGAAGCCCTAAAGGGAAAGGACAGCCATATGGCCGGAACACCAACAATGCTGCAGTCCACAGGCCTACAACGGCTGATCAGGCGTTTACTGCAGTAGAGCCGGGCGCGAGCCCACGCCGAGCAGAGGACTTCACAGCGTTTACGCGCTGCCAGTTCTGCCGAAGCATTTCCTCCTGCATCCAACCCAGCCGCTCCCGCGCAGCCTCCGGCGATTGAAGACAAACCTGCAGTACAGGAGGAGCCTGAGCCAAGCACTATGACTATATGACCATCCATCTTACAGGCATTGAGCCTGGGCAGGCTTTGGAAGTAGATGGGACCCTAGTTTTTTGGCTTTGGTAGATCGTGGGGCTACTCATGCCCTTCGCGCTGCAAGTTCCGAAGCTGAATGGGCCAATGCGCAGCCCGTTGTAATGTCACTGGCTGGAAGGGAGACTTCGGCTGTGCGTTCGTCTACTGCTGGTACTCTTCTGTTGCGTACCACGTCCAGTGCTCAAACGTGCCGCTGGGTTCTGTCATCCAGCAGGGGGGGATGGGGGGTGGGGGGGATGATGACGACAGTGTTACGCGAACACACCCAACAGCATCAACACAAGAGCCGCTTAACTCGTTTTTTACGGTACTTTCGTGATGTCAGACTTTGTTACATATTCTGAGCCCCTACTTCTCGACTACGCGTATTAAACTTTGCTGTTTCGAACTGTTTGCAAAAAAACTCGAAATTGGGTTGGGAAAAGCTTCTTCGGGGATGATCACGACACTGTTTTTCGGACACCCTGTTTGAACAATATTTCCACACTCAAACGCGCACACACCACCCACACCACTTCAAAAAAAAACAGACCCTCCTACGCCCACGTTGGGCGGTAGGGCTGTTGGCGAGCCCCTCCCACGTACAGCTGGCATCTTTGTTTTTGATGTTTAGAAGATCTTGCGCTTCAGGTTTTAGAAATGTTAAACCCTTCTTGGCAGCACCTGCGTTTTGCACTGTATTTACAGCGTTTTCGTACTATCCGACCACCTGCGGTTTAGCAGTTTCTGCCCCCGTCGAGCTTGCAACTGAGCTTGCTGTTGCAGTTTTGGGGCCTGAGCCCCTGCAACTTCACCGGCTGTGACAGTTAAGGAAACTGACCCTCTGCAACTTCTGCAGCTGTCACAGATAGGGAGCCTAAGCCCGTGCATCTTCTGCAACTGTCGCAGTTAAGGCGCCTAGCAGCTACCGCTGCCCAGCCCGGATGGAACAAGTGTAGTTGGGCGGGGGGGTGGCTACTACTACTATTACTACTACTACTACTACTACTGCTACTACTACTACTACTACTACTACTACTACTACTACTACTACTACTACTACTACTACTACTACTACTACTACTACTACTACTACTACTACTACTACTACTACTACTACTACTACTACTACTACTACTACTACTACTACGACTACTACTACTGCTACTCCTACTACTACTACTACTACTACTACTACTACTACTACTACTACTACTACTACTACTGTACTAGTACTGAACTATACTGTACTATTCTGTACTACTACTGTACTACTGTATTGTAGTACTGTGCTACTGTACTACTGTACAACTATACTTCTGTACAACAGAGGAGCCCCAGACACCCAGACCAATACAGATGATCAGAGAGCCGGACCCCCCCGTCACTAATGCGGATTAAGGATGTTCAGGAGGGGGGGGGATTGCCAACATCTACACAGCCGATCCCCTTGATCTGCAAAGCTGTACAGTGTGGGGCAGAGCACATTCGAGCGCACTTGATTGACAACGGAGCCAGAGCCGTGCCCCCCAAATTGCCGCCCTCCCTTGTCTCCCGGACAAACCACATGCAGAGGCACTAAGACGGTAAGTCGCGAGCAGCCCTGCGTGTTGCAAAAGTTGGACTCCTCCTCGTCGCCGGTGCAGGGCTTGCCGCCGTTCGACTGCAGAAGGCCGTCCGAACCCGAACCGCAGTGATGAAAGAATCCTGGCCCCGGGCCCCGGGCCCCGCCTCCGGCGCCTTGGTGCGCTTCCGGGACATGGTCCCGGCATCGCAGGTCTTGGAGCAGAGACTGAACTTGCTCCAGCCTCGGACGAAAGCGAAAGGCGGAACGCGGCGGAAGGGAATTCGTTCGGTGCACATAGGAGGCGCTTGAGGCTCTGGCTGGACCATGCGCAATCCACCGGGCAGAGCTGCTCGTTGCAACTTTCCTGTGTGTCGTTTAACGCGAGCACAGGACGCGCTCGGGCTTGGCCCCTTGGCCCCTTGGCCGCTGGCCGTCTTCTGGGTCTTGGGGCCACCGGAGGCGTCGGTCTCGCACTCTAGGCCACCTTTCACTGAAACCGAAGCTTTCGGCTCAAGCCTTAAACCTGAGGCCGTCAGGCTCCCTGGCCCTGATTCTCGGTATCGCGCCCCATTCTGGCGCTACCTCGACGACTCTCGTCTGCATCCTGCAATCCAGGCTCCACGGCTGCAGGGCTTCCCCTGGGCAACTCTTCAGTCCTGGTGCCACCACCGCAGGAAGCGGAGCAGCTTCCCCTCAGAAGCACCAGTTCCAAGCTCCCTTTTAGGAGACGAGAGGTCTGCAGGTGCTTTGCGGCAAAGGAGACTCGTGCCGCGTCTAAGAGAAGCACCAGTCGCTCCACGGCCTGAAAGCGAAGCGACGAAGCGACCTGCTCCTTTGCTGTGCTCCGCTTCCGCTCCCGCTCCGAGCACCGAGCACCCACTTGCAATCCACGGGGCAGCCTCAAGGAAGCGCTCTGCAGACTGGAGGCTCGGCAGCTCTCTGACTCAAGCTCCGGCCTTGGACGTTGCAGACGCCGTCTTCGTCCGCGGAGCCCGAGCAGGAGCGGCCGCCATGCGATGCAGGAACCTTCAAAGAGGGGCCATCGGCCGTCGCGAGCGGCTCACGGGCCAACCTGCTCGACGCGCTGGCGGGTGTAGGTGCCGCCGTTGCAGCTACGGCTGCAAGTGCTCCAAGCTTCCCAGTGAGACCACCTAGGCTCCAGGAGGAAGTAAAGCCTGCGATGCGCTGCCTCTGCTCCCCCCTCCTTTGCCCTCGCTAAGATCCTCTCCGTGCCTGCTGTGGAAACATTTTCAAACCCGGCGGTCAGCTGCAAGAAGGTGCTGAAGGAAGAGGTTTGTACTGCACTTGAAGGCAGCTGCTGGCGAGAAATGCACTTTCTGAAGGATGTAGAATGTAGATGCAAAAACACTTAAGTCAGTGAAGCTCTGCGCAGCGCTCTCTCTCCGCCTAGGGCCTGGCTCCTTCGGCTTTCGTCTTTCTCCGAGGCCGAGGCTGGCAGTGGATCGGGCACTCGGTCTCCGCTCCGCACGTCGTGGTCTCGTTGAGCTTCGGATCACAAGCCTTCGCGGAGACACACATCTCAATTGAGCTCTGCAATTGCGCCCGCCTTGCCGCCGTACGCGGGACCATTCCGAATACCCCGAAGTCGCGTCTGTGAACCTGGGGCAAGGCAAACCTGGATGGCCGCTGCATGGCTACATTGCTGCATGGCTGCATGGCTGCTGTTTGCAAGGCACCTTTACCGCACGTCATGGAACACTGCGACCACTGAGACCAATCCTGAGAGATGCAATGGCGATGTCAGAAGGTCTGAAGAGGGTTTCCCATGCAGTTTCTCTGGGCCACAAGCTCCCAGCAAACAATCGACTGGGCAAGCATCCAGCGAGCAGACCTGCAAGATGCCAGCCCTGTGTTCGGCGATCAGACTGGCTGGGTGGACAATGGTGGACATTGACATGAGTGATCATGGGAGGTGGGAATCCGGGAAGCTGGCATTGTAACCCTAAGTCGAAGCGGGCTTCCGCTGCAACAAATCACACAAATCACACGGGCGCCACATGACGCACTCACTACGCGCCCCACACTTGCAACGAAGTCAGGCCCATGTTGTTGAATGCAGTTGCACTGGCATGCCATGCCTTGTTGCCGTGTCTAGCTTCTTGCAGTGATCCCTCTCTCTGTTTCGCTTGCAGTGGCAGTCTCCGGTGCCTGCTCGTCATCTTCGGTACCCCAGCAGACGTGGCCGCCATCCCTGGAAAAGCAGAGAGTCGACAACGTGACGGAAAAAGTGTTTTCACGGGGCTCCGGCTTCTCGTACTTCTTCCTCGCCCGTGTCCTCCTGGAGACCTCGAATAGTCACTTTTCAGCATGCTACGGTGCAGGAAGTTGGGCCACGGGCGCCCGTTCCACAGGTCACGGAACAAGCCTCCCAGTCGGTCCAGACCTGCAAGGTTAACCACAATAAGAGGCAGTCACGCTCCCCAAAAATCTTTCAATTGAAGTATCCTCGATTCTCGAAAGGCTTCGAACTCCGTTGCTCGGTCTCTGACGTCCCACTCGCAGTCTGTGGGACAAACCGGCAGACTCTCGCAACGCCGGCTGTCCGAGGCGAAGCCCTGAAAAGAGGATTGCACCATATTGCGCGCTTCCTGCCTTCCTTCTCCTCCTGCTCCTCCCGCCACCTCGCAGATGTCCCCCTCGTAGGCAGGTTGCACGGCGACGGCGCGCGTGCGCGCCTGCTGGCCTCATGGAATCACAAGTTTCCTGGAACAGCATGTAGAGACAGATGTTTGGCCTGAACCGCAAGAGCTCGTGCACTCCCCCCAGTCCGTCCAGTCCTCTGGTCACGGTCGGTTACATGCAGCACAACAGCTGAGGCGGCTGAGGCGGCTGAGGCGGCTGAGGCGAGCGGCCGTCCACTGACAGTGCACTGGGCAATGCGCGAGGAAACAGCCTTTGAGCGGACCGAACGCAAGAGAGCGGCTCCGGCGGCTCCGTGCTCCCGCCGTGCTCTCCCGCCTCTGGAAGCTTGGGTGGGGGACCCCGTGCACGGGATCCCTCCATAGTCTGCCTCAACCTGGTGTCCCACTGCTCTGCGCTGGCAGAACGTAGTGACTGTCGAGGCCCTGACCGCCACGCTGCGCTCACGAGCCTCCTGGCCGTCTCCGCAGCTGGTGCTGCAGCTGCCCCAGTCGCTCCAATCCTCCAAAGCCGCGATTTTCTGGAACGGATTCAAAGCACCCGTTGAGTCGCTGGGGGCCCTGCAGCCAACCTGGGCAAGGGCAACTCGACCGACTCGACCACCATCTCTCTTCGGTGCCGGGTGCCCCGACCCGCAGTGCAGTGGGCAAAAGCGCAGGTTGCAGTCCCGCTCTTGGGAGAAGCCACCCTCGCAATCCTCCAAAGAAGCTCTCGCCAACGAATCACAAAGCGACCTTTCAGTGCTCTTCGTGCCTTTCCGCCGTGCAGCATGGGCGTTCGGACCTAAAGTGGGGAAAGTCTCCACCTCCGAACTCCCGAGCGCTCGGCCCCGCTTGGCACCCGGCATCCCGCATGCGCAGCCCACGGCCTGGCAACCGAAAATCCCGCCAGGATCCTTTCCCCACCATGCCCCACGGAAACCTAGGCCGCAGGATGCAGAGCAACCGCGCCAATCCTGCCAGTCCTCATTTGCACTTTCTGCTCATGCTGGGCTGCTGGGCCCCTCTTTCTCTCTGTCTCTCTCGCTTCTGGGGTGCGCGCATTCCACTCGCAGTCCACAGGGCAGGTGTCCACGCTGCAGTACTTCTTCTCGTAGGTCCTTGGCGCCGAGGCGTTTCTTCACGCTGCTCTTATGGCTTTCCTTGAGGCACCGGCAAATTCCCGGCAGCACAGTCCCGACCACCAAAGAGGGCTGCTACCTCCGCAATGGTTCAGTGACACTTTAAAGCTGGGGCGATTCTTCCCCCAGCGCCTGCACCTGTCGCGATCTCTCTGCTTGACCGGGCCCGCAGGAGACACCTCGAGTGCAGCGAACTTCGCTGCGAGATCTTCGCACTTCCCGTCTGTTGGGCGAAGCGCTGCAGTCGGACCAGAGCGTCCAGTCCGAGAGCTTGCAGTCTATCGGGCATTGTTTCAAGCTGCAAGTCCCCGTCTGCTGAATCGACCTGAGGACACGATCGAGATGCCATGCCTTTTGTCTGGGACTCTAGTCTCCGACGTCTGGTTTGATGGGCAAGGCTTCCCCAGCTCGTTCCCTTGCTCCTTCGAAGGCAAAGATGCTGCGGGTGCTTTGTCGCTTTCAGGTGCTGAGGCCCCAGCCACCACTGTTCTGAAACGTTTGCCTAGCCGAGGCGCAGTTCAAGCCTCCATGTGCGAAGTGCGTCGAGGGCGGACGGTGTCCGGGTTCGGAGTCGGTCTTGCAGGAGCGATCGCAGGGGCTCCACTCGCCTGAGTCAAGTTGCACAAACAACTTTTCGAATACTTAATTGACATGCAATTTCTGGACCCAAAGACCACGCATGTTCTTTGGTAGTTTCGTGGAGAATTGGCACCGTTCTTTTTCTCCGTCTCTCAACAGCAAATGTCTCCTTGCACACCTCGTGGTTGTCTCTAGCCTAAATAGCTGCTGCACGTCGAAATGCCTTTTGGAAGTAACACATGTCTCCTTGCACACCTCGTGATTGTCTCTAGCCCAAATAGCTGCTGCACGTCGAAATGCCCTTTGGAAGTAACACATGTTGTTTGTCACATGCAGCTGTTGTAAAAACTAATCTGGACACCACAGGCAGCCTGTCGCTCCCGTTTCCAACCCCTGGCTTAGCAAGTGACGGTAGGCCCTATCGAGCAGGCGCCTACGCTTGTGTTGCACCGTAGCCTGCGCATCCAGTTCAGCCTCCAACTCCCACCCGCCTAATAGAACATTAGCATCATCGGGCGGAGGATCACTAGCTGGGGTCACCAGGGCCCACGAGAGTACCTCCCCCAAAAGGCGGTGTCGCCCTCCCCAAGCACAGTGGGGACCTTTGTAGGACAACTGGAACTTAGCGGGGGTGGGGAATCCACAACCACGGTAGCGCAGTCGGCGGCAGCTTCTACGCTGCCCGGCGGCGTCTCCACTTGAGTAGCGGCTGTCCGACATCAAAGCAGGGCTAATTAGCCCTGTTCCCTTTCTACCCCGCACTCAACATTTGCCCCCCCACTAGCTGTGGGGCCTTGAGCCAAAATGGCTACGGAATAGCTCACGTTCCACAGGCCATGTGCCGACAGTCTAGCGAAACAGACGTCCTGTTTAGCTTCACGAGAAAAACCCCTTCGAAGTTTTCTATCGAAACACCTTCGATGTTTTCACAAAGGATACTAGCGCTAGCACACGCGGTCGTACCTCGTCCTTCGTGTGTAGCAGGGGAGCAAGGTTTCGGCTCCTCGGAGACGCCTTTCGGTCAGACCCAAAGGAATGAACCGGTAAGCGCTCCGCTACCATGCTAATTTTCACTCAAACACAAGCGCCTGCGGAGTAAGCTCAGTCAGATATTGGGCTCAAACGAATTCGGGAGCTCACAAAGTAAAACAAGTGTTCACATAAATACCGGCCAGGAAAACAGATGAAAACTACATGTGCTTACTGTACGAGTACTTACTGTACGAGTACAAAGTGTGCAAAATTTTGCAATAGGAGAATCCTCACGGGACGTATTTAAGTTCAGCACATTGGCTTGTGCCGCCTCTCCTGCCATCCTGTCTTCCATCTTCCTTTTCAGCTCTCGATCAATGAAGTTGATCGCTTCTATGCTCCTTGCACTTTTTCGTCAAAGCCTTCAGAGACTCGTCAGCGGCCATTCTTTCCTTTTCTTCTTGTTCTTCTGTTTCTTCTTCCTTCTTTTTCTCCTTTCTTCTTCTGCAGCTTCCATTAGGAAGCTTGATCTGAAAAATGGCCGCGGTCATGCACATGAAACAGAAAATGCTCAACATGTAGCACAACAACATGCTTGCACTGCTTCTCAGTCCTTCTCGTACTCCTTCTTCAGATAACCTTATCAGCACTGCTGTCGTCACTGTTTAAATAATCCTTGTCTTTTCATCGAAAATTTTCCTTGTGCTGACTTGTCTATCGTCTGCTTCTTCTTGGACTTCTTGATCCAGATAGTCACCTGTGTATCCTATAATCAACATATACTTACTGATATTGTCTCTGCTAAGTGACTTTGCACCAAGGTCTGCTGGATTGTCTTTTCCTTTGATTGCTTTGATCGCCAAACCTTTGATCTTCTGAATCCAAAGCAAATCAACGTCCAAATGTCGGGCATTCCCGAGTCCTTTACTTGCAATCAGCTGCCTCGAACTGCTTGAATCTGAATACATTACCAGCTTCGGCCCTATGCCCAGAATTCTTTCCAGCATTCCTTGCAAGAACACTGCTTCTGACAATATCGATGTCGCTGCTATCGTCTCTGAATCACACGACTTAGCGCAATGCTCTTTTGTCTCTTGCTTTGAAACTCAAACAAATTTCCGCTCAACATGATTGCTCCACACGATACACTTTGCCTTGTCTCTCTGTCAGCTGCCCAATCCGAATCCGTAATCACTTCTATAAAGCTTTGCTCTTTGTACACATTCCTTTCGCTTCTTCCTGCACTTCTGTTGCGGACTTCAGCAAAACTTCTTCCAGGATAACTCTTCGTGCCTACCCTTCAAGTACTTCGCCGTGTAACGTAACATTTCCAGATCTGCTTGAACCGGCGATGCAAGTTTCGTCGAGAGTTTCTTGAGAACGTACATTATGTGCGGTCGTTCCGGAGCTAAGTACAAGAGTACCCCAACGAAACGCGTGATGATCTTCGGCGCTTAGCGAATCCATTCCTCCTTTCTTTGCTTGAAATGGTCTTCCGTTGTCCGATGGACATGGCAACTTCTTCGGATAGGCTTCTCGAAGTTCCAATACTTCCAGCAATCCTTCAACATATTTCGTGTTCATCGTGATCTCAACGTCGCCCTCATTGGTCGACCTGAAACTTCTTTTCAAGAAACTCATTGAGCCTTCTTCTGCATCCATTGGTCCTTCAACCTTGATCTTCAACCCTGTGCTTCTCAGGAATTCAACCAACTTCTCTTGATTCGTATAACTCCACGTCATGGCATCCTTGTGAATAGCGCAGGTAATCCTTGGTCCGACTTCAGACCATACTCTTCCAAGTATCCTTTCAACTTGCTGAACCATGCGCTTGGTCCAACCCTTCGTGCTGGGAGTGTGTACCCCAACTCGTAGTACTCACCGTCAACTTCAACCACTGTTGGTTCTTCTTGCTCAACCAGCAAGTAAGCATCTCCAACATCAATACTTCCTAGTGAGTATCCTTCTGATGATGTGAACAACGCTAGAAGTAGCTCACCGTGCTTTCTACACCTGTTGGCGAAAACAAAATTGCGGACCATGTGCTTAGGGCGATCGGCGCCGGCATAAGCAAACTGCTTGAGATGCCAGGTGCCCACCCTGTGGCGATCTACTATCGCTACAAGGGTACTGCGGATGAAGGTGCCCGATCACTTCTGTCTTTTTTCTTGGGTTCACTTGTGTCTTTTTTTGGGGGGTCGCTTGTGTCTTTGTTTTCGGGGTCGCTTCTGTCTTTTTCCTTCTTCGGAAGCAACAGTCTCGAACGAGAGGTGCCTTGGTAGGACCTCACCCCGCTCAGTTTCAGGCTCGATATACATAAAGTGCAAAGGCAATTGGCTTGCTCCCTTTCTGCGTCCACATGCACATAGACATGCATGCGTACTCTACGAGGGGGTGTCTAAACATGTGTAGATATTCATTGTATATTACACATTGTACGCATATACGTATACCTATATGTAAAAATATACGTATACATAAACACATGCAACTAACATATACAGCTTACTCCTTTTAGGGTTTCGTTCTGGGTTTACTCCTCTTAGGGGTTGGGCCTTCGTTCATTAGGGTTTCATTCTGGGTTTACTCTTTTTTGGGTTTCGTTCTGGGTTTACTCCTCTTAGGGGTTGGGCCTTCTTTCATTAGGATTTCGTTCTGGGTTTACTCCTCTTAGGGGTTGGGCCTTCTTTCATTAGGGTTTCGTTCTGGGTTGACTCTTTTAGGGTTTCGTTCTGGGTTTACTCCTCTTAGGGGTTGGGCCTTCTTTCATTAGGGTTTCGTTCGTTCTGGGTTTACTCCTTTTTGGGTTTCGTTCTGGGTTTACTCCTCTTAGGAGTTGGGCTTCGTTCTGGGTTTACTCCTCTTAGGGTTTCGTTCTGGGTTTACTCCTCTTAGGGGTTGGGCCTTCTTCCATTAGGGTTTCGTTCTGGGTTTACTCTTTTAGGGTTTGGTTGTGGGTTTACCCCTCTTAGGCCCTACTTCTTTCATTAGGGTTTCGTTCTGGGTTTACTCCTTTTAGGGTCTCGTTCTTGGTTTACTCCTCTTACGGGTTGTGCCTTCTTTCATTAGGGTTTCGTTCTGGGTTTACTCCTTTTAGGGTTTCGTTCTGGGTTTACTCCTCTTAGGGGTTGGGCCTTCTTTCATTAGGGTTTCGTTCTGGGTTTGCTCCTTTTAGGGTTTCGTTCTGGGTTTCCTCCTCTTAGGGGTTGGGCCTTCTTTCATTAGGGTTTCGTTCTGGGTTTACTCTTTTTAGGGTTTCGTTCTGGGTTTACTCTTCTTAGGGGTTGGGATTCGTTCTGGGTTTACTCCTCTTAGGGTTTCGTTCCGGGTTTACTCCCCTTAAGGGTTGGGCCTTCTTTCATTAGGGTTTCGTTCTGGGCTTACTCCTTTTACGGTTTCGTTCTGGGTTTACTCCTCTTAGGGTTGGGCCTTCTTTCATTAGGGTTTCGTTCTGGGTTTACTCTTTTTAGGGTTTCGTTCTGGGTTTACTCCTCTTAGGGGTTGGGCCGATTACTCCTCTTAGGGGTTGGGCCTTCTTTCATTAGGGTTCGTTCTGGGTTTACCCCTCTTAGGGGTAGGGCCTTGTTTCATCAGGGTTTCGTTCGGGGTCAGGTCCTACCAAGGCACCTCTCGTTCGAGGCTGTTGCTTCCGAAGCAAATACACAAGTGACCCCGAAAAAACAGACACAAGTGAACCCCAAAAAACCACACATGACCCCCCTTCCCTGCGGATGCCCACTTAGAGGCTGGCGGCACCGACGCATCAGGCACGGTCCAAGCGTGGCTTCTTTCGCTGCGCGAGAAGCGCGCCCGCTACGATGCGCTGGAAAACAAAGCGGCGGCTTTTCAAGACTTCCAAGTGAGCTAGCTGTTTAGAGGCGTTGACAGAACTCAACGCGGCAGGAGTCTATAAGTGTCAAAAAGACCTCTTGAATGACTATTTGCAGAAAATCGGCTCATTTCTCCAGGAAGAGGTTTTCCGAGATCGTCGCTTTCGACCTTTGAGACCGTCGCCAGGCGTGACGCAAGAATTTCGCTCGGTAGAGAATGGGAGCGA